TTTTTGCCACGGCGAAATGGCATTTCTCATGCGGTAGAGGCATCAGGAAGCCGTCACAAAATTTGTGATGCTAGATCATGCATTACAGACATCCTGAGTCATGCAAAATATGCATGAGAAGTGTAGCACTCTTCCAGACCCAGACATTTTTACATTTGATAGCAGACTTTTGATCCCGACCCCTTCCCTCGCGACTTTCTACGAAGAAAAGCTCGACCCCTTTCTCGCGTCGCACTTTGAAAAAGTGTTGCGGGAAAAGGCAAAGTTCTCGACAAATCCCGGAACGAACTTACTCCCCGACAAAACGAGTGCGGGCTACAAGCTGTTCGAAAAGCAGAAAATTTGCGTGGAAAGGGAAACATTCGAGGAAGACATGCGGATTGCGATCACGTACCCGCGGAGGCTGGAGCAGTTCTTCAGCGCAGATGCAAATACCGGCTATGTGGAGGACTTGTTCGCGAACAAAATCAAAATCGGGGCTCCAGTTGATATCAACATCATGCACAACGAAGTAGATCAGCATTTATTTCTGGGGCCAGGCGTTGCACTCCCTGTCCCTCCTGTGAAGCCCTACGACCCGTATGCGATCGTGGATATGTTTCGCTGCTCCGTGGAACGGCAGCTGAAAATTCTGGTGAGTTCCTGTTTTGCGACGTTCAAGCTGGCCGAGCGCGAATTTGTTCAAGACCAGGAAGGTGAGGGGCAGCGACGTTTTGCGCGAGATGTTGTGTCAGAGCAGGTTACGGAGGAGAGCTTCTTTTTCATCTGCAAAATTCTACAACTCATAAGGATATCCTGTGCAAAAGTATCGTGCTCGTAGTAATTGCAAACATGCATGACAAATCTCCATCCCAAGGTAAAATAGCATGACAAATTCCATTTGCCATCCCACGCTGAGGCAATTTGCCATGCCATTACTACTAGTACGCCACTTTTGCAATGCATAAAGGACAGGGGGGAACGATTTTGCAGCCGGCAGCGGAGCGTATTTATTTGGGGAACATCATCAAAGCGTCGAAGACCGTGTGACGATGGCAGGTATCAAATGTAAAAATGTCTGGGTCTGGAAGAGCCAAACTTGTGATGCTGCATTTGGATGCTAAAACGAACTTGTATTGCATGACCAGCAAGAGGATTCAAATTTGGCTACGCGGAGAGGGCATTTGTCATGCTGGATGCGCATAGATAAGCGCTCAAGAAATCTGTGATACTATGGCATACATCACAGACGTCACGGATCATGGAAAATGTGCATGACAAAGTTGTGCTCTTCCAGACCCAGACATTTTTACACTTGATAGCAGGAGATCCCCTGCCCGCGTCGCTTCATCCGTTGCACTACATTCACATCGACCCGACTGAAATCCTATGCACTGCAAATAAAGTATCGTACTCGTAGTATTGCAATACAAATTCGCTCAGCATGACAAATGGAATTTCTTATGCTGATTTTGATTTAGCTTGAGCAAGAAACTTGTCTTGCATGACTGCGATTAGAAGTACGAGTGCGATACTTTTCCACAGGATACTTCCACCGGTTTCTGCTGAACTTCCTCGTGCCCATGATCAGTGCCGCGCACAGAGACGGGATGGAGCTACAACATCAAACCGGAGTGACAAGAACATCTTCAAACGCCGAACATTACTATCCTGTGCAGAAGTATCGTACTCGTAGTAATTGCAATCATGCATCGCAAATCTTTTTCTCAAGGTAAATCCGCATTACAAGTTTTATTTCTCATGCTGAGGGAATTTGTCTTGCATTCATACGAGTACGATACTTTTGCAGTTGATAATTACGCGACCATAGCGAACAAGCAGCTAACGGTTTTCACGACGTTGCTTCACGAGTTGTTGCAATTGCTCGCCATCCTCCCGGCAGTTTCTTTAAAACAGAAGATCGAAGTGGTGAAGCCGTTTCTGAACGAGGCAGACGCCACCGGAAAGCCTCTCGTCGCGGACATCGTAATCGCGTGTTGGGACTGCGTTTCCGCCTGCTTGGAAAATCACAAAGAGTTGAAGGCCGATGACCTGACGCTGGGGATAGAGGATATCTTTGACGATAGAAGTTGCGGAGCGGCTGACTTTTACAACTCAGACGAAGAGTACTTCGACCGAGGGTTCGGCGACGACGCAGGTGCTGGGGGAGACAGCGAAGACCACGTGGAGATGGCAGCAGACGGCGCACTCCACCAGCAGCTCCCTTTGCTCGCCGGCGCAACTTCTAGTGGAGGGACGACGATGAACATCAAGAAGAAGCAGCCCGCAGGAGCAGGAGCCTCCACAACGCGGAAAAGCAGCAAAGAAAACCAGAACCAAGTCGGCGATCAAGGTGCAACTGTCGTTGAGCAAAAGCAGGACAGCAAGTCCAAGTCGCATAAAAACTCCACCGCCTCGTCCGACGACGACGACGATGGCTTGGCGGATTACAAAGTTCTGAAGCAAACCGAGATTTCTGTGGCGGATGACTTGCTTTTCTCGGAGATCACGAGGTTGATCAAGAACCACTTTCGGGACGGCAATTCCGCGATCGAGGTATTTGAAGAAGACGAGGAAAAGTTGAAGAAGCAGTACCGAATTTTCCGGTTTGTGTTTAACCGGACACAATTGTTGGAAAAATTTTCCACCGTTTTGCAACAAATCCAACTTCGGTTGTTGAAATTCGGCACCGCGGGGAGGGCGGTAGATATCATGGAAAACTTACCCGCGTTCCCGACTCTGTGGACAAGCGTCAGAAGTGCTGGTGGGAGCAGAAAGCACTGTGCCGCGACAGCTGCGAAAGGTAGCACACCAGCAGGGCGAGCCTCCGCTAGTAAAGCCTTCGCACAGCATCACCAGCACACGAAGTCGCATTCTATTCGAAGGAGTTGCTTGGAATATGTGGAAGATAGGTTTGCGGAAGACTTTGTCGCTGACACCGTTGCTGGAGCAGACGACGATTTGGAATTCCAAGAACCGGAAGAAGAAACGGAGCCAGGGATAGACTGTGCAGGAGGCAACATGGCGTGCTTGCAATCTGGCATGACAAGCTCAAGTGCAACAGCGTCAAGCCTCCTCACCCAGTACCAGAAATGCCTTTTCACGAAAGTCCCGGCGAATGAATTTCCCTTCGTCCCGGCGCAGCATACAGTCCAGAAAGCGACGACCGGGAGTATTATCGCGAGGAATAATCTAGTTTCCACGCACACAGAAGAGTTCACGAGGATACTGAAGCAGTTCTGCAGCCTATTACAATGAAAAATGCCCCCACCCCTAAACTTGAAAGCATTTGTATTGCAAACCTTTCCAAATGAAACATGCGCCCTCTTGCATCGTATCAGCATCACAGATTTCCGATCGTGAATAGCAAAAATTTGCATTGCAAAAGATCCCAATAAGAGCGGTGCTTGTCATGCAAGCGACGCGAAACACAAACACCGCTAGAATCTGCATCAGAAAGATTCATATTCCTTTCATGCATGACAAAAAGTTTTCATTTGGAAATTTCGCATCACAAATTTTTGCCACTTTGGGGATGGGGGGCACTTTTCACTGTAATACAGCCACTTTGAGGAAGTGAATGGTCTACTCCTTATGACGATCCGCGAAGCGAAGGAAGACTTCATTGGTGAAAATAACGGCGCGAAGCAGCTGACCGATTTGTTCGATCAGCAACAGAAGCTGTTCACGTTTGTATCCTGAGTAAAAATGTCCCCACACCATAGTCAAGATGGGGAATCGGCTAGACAAATCCACAAGTTTTGGCTGTTTTGCATCACAAATCTGGATTCGTAGTGTAGTGCTGTTTGAGCTAGCCCAGCAGCTGCATCACAGACCTAGCATACCATGCTGATTGGAGCATGACAAATTGCAAAACACGACTAGAAGCTGCTTCTCATGAGGTTCCGCATGAGTAACATTTTCAGCGTGCAGATTTGCATTACAACTACCAGCCATGCCCCGGCTGACGCCGGGGCGCGCGGCTGTTTTGGCGGGGCAGGACTATTTGCGGATCGGGCCGCAACGCCAGGGCTTTGCGCACAGGGTGACAGGTCGAAGGAAGTACTGGCGCCGGTTTGCGCCATGTCAACCCGCGCCGCCTCCTGCGCGCTTCCCGCGCCTTCAGGCGCTATGCGCAGGGGGCAGCTACAGCGAAGCTCGGGGGCGAAGAGAAGCCGCCTCGACGTAGGTGCCGAAGCAGAACTGGGGCGCGGGAGGGTGCGCGAGAGGGTGGCGCGAGAGGGTGCGCGAGAGGATGCGCGAGAGGGTGGCGAAAGAGGGGAGCGCGAAAGGGTGTGGGCCTGCGTCATGAAAGAGCCCCAACAAAATCGGCCGCGTGCCGGGGGGATTCGGATTTTTTTGACCCTCTCGCAGACCCTCTTTTTGACCTCTCCCGAGAGGTGTTGCTAATAGTCCGGCTATACTCGCCGTTAGAGGTCTGCAGAGGTGGCCGAGAGGTGGCCCAGAGGGTGCGCGAGAGGTTCGCCCTTATTCGCGCAACCTCTCGGCACCTCTGTTCCCCTCTCACGCACCCTCTCGGGACCCTCTCGGCCACCTCCGTCCCCCATAGGCGCGGCTTTAGGGTGAACGGTTCGGCTGGCTATACCCGCGCCACCTCTCGGCCACCCCCTCGAATGACCTCCCGCGCCACCTCTCCACCTCTGTCGACCTCTTTTTGACCTCTCTTGACCTCTTTTTGACCTCTCGGCCACCTCCCTTCGACCCTCTGTAGACCTCTTTTTTCGCATGAATATAATAGATAGTAATGGGGTGGGGACGTTTTCAAATAGGATAGTTTGTGAAACCTGCGACCGCGACGAGAGCCGCGCGAAGCTTTCGAGACTCCGCGATTCAATTTTTAGTCACGATCTGCGTGTCTAGTACGAGTGGAAAAATCACGGCGAACAGCGAACTGATCCGGAGCTGCGTGAAGAGGTTGCGGTCGATGGTGGTTGTGGAGGACGAGCTGGAGGTTGGGACGAATTCAAGCTTGCTGTTTTCGAAAGTAGCTTCGAAAGAACCGCAGCTCCTCTACCGCCTGCTCGAGTCCAACACGTTCCTGGCCTGCTTATCCTCCCTCCCATTACCGAAGAGGGAGATCGCGTTGAAGGATTTTTTATGCATTGCAAGAGCATCGCCATCGCGCCAGTTAGTAGAAATCGCAGCACAAATTTGGTCAGCACGAAAAATGAATTTTGTAATGCTGTTAAGCTGCGTAGAGAGATAAACCTGTCATGCACGATTACCATTACGACGAGTACGATACTTTTGCAGCGCATATTTTTCCGTTCTCCAAAAAGCGAGGAAAAACGCGCTGTGGAAAAGCAGCGAAGCGGCGGAAGGCGGTACAGCTGCAGGAGAGTACCACAGTCCAGGATCCGAAAGTACGAATGATACGGACTACGACTCTCCTACAGGGGAGTTGCTTCTACCCGGGGGCCAGAACAAAATGAAGCACAGCACACAACATTTTGAGCCGGACGAGGAACAGGACCCCTGGGTCCTTACTCTCTATCAATCGACCGGCACCGAGGATTTTCAAGCGAGGCAGACGGAACGGAAAACGCAGTTGCTCAGATTCGAACTGCTCGGTGACTGCACGGTTTGGAACGACTGCCACTGCTACTACCAGTCCGGGATTTTCACGAACATCAAGGACACTTTGTTCGGCCCAAACTGCCGCAGGTTCGCGGTGAAAATACCGTACAAGAAAGTGTACAAGAATGGACTGGGGAATAAGATCGCCCCTCAAGGACAAGGAGCTGCTGCTGCGTCGGGCGCTGCGGCTGTTCCGGCAGATCACACTCTACAACCACCGCAAGTAGACTTGGAAGCTGTCGCGAAGCAGCAGGCGCAAGTACAGGCGCACTACATCGCGATCGACAATGGCTGGATCACCAATTCTTGCTTCGAAACCGACGGAGACCGTATTTCTTTTGTAAACACCGACGAAGACAGCTATTACATGCAGTATGGAGGTCTCACCAGCTGGAACAATGTGAACCGGAAAAATTTGTGTTTCAAAAGGCGGATCATGTGTCCAGCTCCTGTGTGGCACAACCACTCTGGGTGTAGTTAAACTACACCCAGAGTGGTTGTTGGGTTTCGTATAGCTTACCATGGTAATAAACTTAGTTTATTACCATGGTAAGCTATACGAAACCCAAACCCCAACTCCAAACAGCGAAGTCCGAACCCGCGAACGCGAGTTTGGAACCTTCGACGGCCAGTTAGGAACCTGCGGGGGTCAGTTAGGAACCTTCCTGGGCCAGTTAGGAACCTCGATAAGTGAGTTCGGAACCATGTGCCGAATTTTTGTTCGCAGGCTGGATATCTTAGTTAGGAACCATCGGAATGGAGTTCGGAACCACTCAACTCGCCTCCGGAATTTCCGGACCTGAGTTCGGAAGCTTCGGACGCGAGTTCGGAACCTTTGGGGGTCAGTTCGGAACCTCCAGGGGTCAGCTCGGAACCTCGACAACGGAGTTCGGAACGATGTGGCGAATTTTTTATGTAGGCTGGGCATCTTAGTTAGGAACCATCGGGCTAGAGTCGTACAACAAACATGCACACTTCCAATTCGTGGAGATTGTTTCCGCTGCTGACCAGGCCATATGCAGTCGAGCCGGTACTGCTTCATTCCGGATACGGTGGTGACGGAATCCATGGTATGCACTGCAAATATGTCTGGGTCTGGAAGGATGCAAGGTTTGCCATGTTTGTTTGGAATGACTGAGGAGTCTGTCATGCGTGTCCAAGAAGACACCCTTTTGCTTGTCATGCAAAACGCAGTTTGTCATGCGGAAAGCGCAACACTAAGCCGCGCAAATATTTCTCATGCTTGGCTGTGCATTCCAGAGAATTCACTACTCACCACTCAGCATCACAAGTTTCCAGACCCAGACATATTTGCAATCCATACATGGTCCAGGTTGACGATGTTGACAACGACGTGTTCAATATTGTGAGGAAAAATCCTTCCTCCCCATATCGAAGAGGAAACTTGTGATGCTGATTTGTGAGCACAAATCAGCTTTGTCTTGCGTACAATGCAAACGGCACCCATGTAACACATTGCGCAGCCAGTCTGTCATGCGTTTTCCCCTATGTCAGAGCTGTTTCTCATGCGCAGCTGCTAGCCGGATGCGTAGTACCCGAACGGGCTTAGAATATGCCAACAAGCAGCTCTTGCTGCAATACAAAATTTGTGTACAACACAAATCCAGCAACACAAATTGTCTTATCGAGTATAGGGTGGGGTCTTTTTTCATTTTGATATTCATGTCGGTTCTGGAAGATAGCGCGGACTTCCAGAACACGGACAGCTTTCAACTCGGCACACTGAATAACTCCTCGAACCAGCTCAAAAGTTCTAGACGGTACTTGACAGAAATGGAATTCCTCTTCGGGACGTTGAATCTATCCAAGCAGCTACTTTATGCACTGCAAAAGTGAAAATATCGTACTAGTAAAAATCGCATGACAAATTTCCTCAGCATTAGAAATGCGTTTTGTAATGCGGATTTCACTTGACAAAGAGATTTGTAATGCATAAATGCGATTAGTACGAGTGCGATAGTTTTGCGATGCATATGCTTCGAACCTTGGCGATTTCCGCACCGAGGGACGGATTACTCCAGCGGGCGCTCTGCCGGTACCTGGAAATCATTTTCACCCACTTAGACGAGGAGCACGATTTGTGCAACGCCGATTTCGGGACGAAGACGAGCAACGACGAGAGGGACGCGATTTTACCGGGTGTGTACGCGATGAACCAGCTGTGCAAGCTGTGCATGAGCATGAATTTATCCATGACCGAACTTTTGTCCGTGGTGGACGATTTGAACCTGGTCCGCGCGGGCCTCTTCCTCGACGCTCCGTTCGGGGAAAACGAGACGAAAATAGGAATGAACGGGCCGATTACGAATGCGAACGAGAAGAAAAAGAAGATGAAGGAGCAGCTGCTAGGCATGCAACAATTGCAGATGATGAGTAACGAGCAAGATTCGTCTCTGATGAATAGCACTTTATCTTCCCAGAACTCAGATAACGGGGGCGAGGAATACGACAGCCAACAGTCCAGCCTTACCTGCATGCTGTTTAACACGAGCGATTACATCATGGACTCCGGCTCGACGCTGTTGCCAGTGCAGATCAAAAATCGAGAGACAACTATCGCAGAAAAAAATTGTTTCATTGGTGTAAACTTGTAATGCACAAAATGTATCAGTATCTCAGAAGGGTTTGTCTTGCTACACATGCCAGATAGTATATTTTTAACCGCGTTCTATTCCCTTAGCAGCCTTGCCTGGGAAATTTTCGTTGTCATGTAGAACAAACCTGTGATGCAAAACTTGCAAAACAATGAAACACTTTTTTCTTGCGACAACAACCGAAGAGCAACTGAAAGTTGCGAAGCAGTCTGTCATCGTGCAGCAAGTCATGGCGGCCGCGTGCTCTTCGACGCAGCTGATGCAGCAATTAGTATCGGGCGAGCCCGTCGAAATCCCGCTTGGGGGGTTCGTATCAAATGCAAAAATGTTGTCTGGGTCTGGAAGAATGCAACTTGTGATGCTGCATTTGGATGTCTAAAAAATTTGTGTTGCATGAGCAGCAAATAGATTCTAATTTTTGCTACGCGGAGAGGGCATTTGTCATGCGGAATAGGCATCAAGAACAATCCCTCAAAAAACCTTTGATGCTAGGACGTGCATCACAGACATCATGGGTCATGCAAACCCCGCATGACAAGTCTATAAAATCTTCCAGACCCAGACATTTTTGCATTTGATAGCTCGACATTACGAACAACAGCTCTAGCACTGGAAACGGGCTGGCGCAGCAGGGCAACGTCTTGCTCCAAAACGTCGCCCAGGCCAACGCGGAGAGAAATCCAGCGGAGCAGGGGAAGATATGGATTGCAAATAAAGTAGCGTGTATTAGTCGAAATCGCATGACAAATTTCCTCAGAATTATGAGAAATGGAATTTGTTGTATTGCAGGTTTAGCTGAAGAAGAAGATTTGTAATGCATGCCTGCGATTAGTAGTACAAGTAAGATACAACTTCTTTTGCAATGCATACAAGATGACGAGCGACGACTTTTTGAAGCAGGCGATCAACCAGTTCGATCACTTGAACACCGAGAAGACGGCGTTATCGGAACTGGAGCTGTTTTTACCCTTCATTTTGTACGAGCTTATCAGTGCGAACGACAAACAGCGGATTGCGGCGTTTCAGTACTTGAAAAGGCAAATCTTGAAGAACACGGTGACCAACGAGCAGTTAACGTCCGCGTTCACCGGGAAAGTTGCCTGCTTGGTGCTGTGGCGGCAGAGACAGTTGCAGTTGGATACAGTGCCTTATCTGAATCGGTGTGCGGAGCTTATGGAGAACATGATGTTGGCCATATCAAAAGGAAAAATCCCCCCTCCCCATATCACAACGAAGTTTCTCATGCTGTATTTGCGTACACAAATCAGATTTGTCTTGCTGGCGAGGACTGCAGGCCCATATGAAGCCTGAGTAGACAGGTTTTGGTCTAGGCGCTTAGCATGACACACGTCTACGCTGTAGGAGCAACAGCATGACAGACCGCCTGTAGAATGCGCCGGAGCCTGTGGAGTTGCCTTCATGCAGCACAGAGATGATTGGTGGCCACAAATCAGCTACACAAATTTTCGAAAACGTCACTGGTCAATATGGGGAGGGGGGATTATTTTTTCTTGCGATAGGCCAAGAAAAATCTCGACGAAGATTCCGGCAAGGACGGCCCCATCGACCTATCGAATGCAAAAATGTCTGGGTCTGGAAGATTGGTAGGTTTGTCATGCAGGTTTTGCATGACCCGTGATGTCTGTGATGTATGCTCCAGCATCACAATTTTTTTGCGGGCATCTTGCTGCCTATCCCGCACGAGAAATCCCCTCTCCGCGGAGCAAAAACTGGACGCCTCTTGCTGCTCATGCAATACAGATTTTGTTGGATTCCAAAAGTAGCATCACAAGTTGCATTCTTCCAGACCCAGACATCTTTGCAATCCATACGACCTCACCGGGGACGATGATGAAGAGGAACTTTTTATGCTGAGATGAAAAAACGTCCCCACGGCAGAGTTGTCATGCAGATTTGCAGTCACGCGAAGATGTGTAATGCGCATCCCCATGAGAGGCCTGTCCAGTCGTGTTTCGGACTTTGTAATGCTGTCAACAGGATGTGTAGATGATTTTGCGTTGCGGCTGTACTTGCTAAACTGCACTACAATACAGAGACGAACTTGTCATGCTTGACACCCAAAAATTCTTGACTTGTGTTGCGAGATCCCCATCCTCGCTCTGGGGTGGGGACGTTTTTGCTCCGGATACTTTTGAACGCCCGCGGAACATTTACAGGCAGCAAAAGCAGCCTGAAAAGGCCGAACAAATCGAATGCGTTTGGCGGCGCGCTCGGGGCCGTGATGTTGAAGAAGCAGAGGGTGGGAGGAGGTCCTCTTGACCCCGATACTAATCGGAAGTCAAAGAGCCACACGCATTCCATCGCTTCGACTGCCCTGGTACAACAGCAGCAAGACGGCACAGGAGCCTCCAACCCGCAGGCGAACGCGTTCGCGAATAGCATGACGCTCCGAATAGCTCCATTGCAGAAACTCCTGGAGGAGAACTTTCTGTACATTTTGGACATTTTTGAAACGATCTTGATCCAGTCCCCCACCAACGAGTCGTTTTTGGAGTATGAGACGCTGTTTCAGAAACCGATCCCGCGCAGCTTCGTCTACCACCGGACGAAGGCGGAGAAAAACGGTTCCAGCTTGCAAAAGTCCGACGACCGAAACAGCAAGATGCTCTACACGTTCGCGGTGCAATATCCAAGAAAAAAACTGTGTAAGTGCAACTTTGTGTTGCAGTCGCATGTAAAACACTTATCACCTCTCATGCTAGACACATGCATCAGAGGCTTTTTTCGTACGTGTTTTCACGTACTAACTACGCATGACAGAGTTTCTGTGTCATGCAGAGCAGACGTGTGATGCTATTCCTCTATAGAAAGTTACACTTGCACAGTTTTTTTTCTTGCATATGCAAGATGCGCTGTGCAGCCGCCAGGCCATCAACTACCACGAGCTGCTCCTCACCGTGGCGAGCTTTTTCCAAGTCTCCAAAGTAGACAACTACACGGCGAAAATTCTGGAGTTCCTGCAGAAGTTAACGGACCGGTGGAAGGGGTACTACGCACTGAGTACGATCTGGGTGGTGTTCGTGCAGGCCACCGCCAGCGAGAAGCTGAAGCCGTATCTAGTGCAAAAATAACGCAGGTGTATGTACAAATTCTGGACTTGCATAACAGATCTGGTTGCTAATACCTGAGTCTGCATGACAAACTGTATGTCTTCTTGTGCAAGCGGCTTTCATATGACAAACTGTATGTCTTCTTGTGCAAGCGGCTTTCATGCTAGTTGTACTAAGGACGATAATTTTGCAATGCATAAGCCGCATTACCCGACGATTGTGGTGGAATTGCTGAACATTGCGGAAGCGCACGACGCGATGTACAAACACGACAACCTGAAGTATGAAAGTGCACAATTTTTCCTGCTCGTGAACATCTGTTCTTTGTGCGAATTACCAGCGAATCCACGCATTGTCTTGACGCCTTGTTTACATAAGAAGTTTCGGGGCGTCGCGCTGAATCATTACTACAATTTGTGTTTGAGGTTGTCATGCCGAAGCTACATTTGGCATTGCTTCTGTTGCTGCTGATACATACATTTCAAACGAAGCAAAAAAAGGGGGGGGCTATGCACTCTCATACAAAGCAGTTCGGGCGCGTGCTGACCGACGAAGAGTTTTGGAAGGAATACAACGATGAAATGCGCCGGCAACTGGATAGCCTGATCAAACTTGGCCGAAAAGTGGTTGGGATCTCCAACGTGCTGCACACTTCCGCGACGCAAGCCGGTATCCCCACGGGCACGCAAGCGCAGCTGCCGACCGCGCACAGCAGTGCTGTCCGCAAGGGCGTGACGACGTCGGGTGGAAATGCTAATGCTGGAAGTATTAACGCGGAGCAGAATCTCCCGGCGGAAGTGAAGCGAGTCGCGGCGACCTATCCGAAGTGTGGGGATATCAGCCCCTTTATGGCCTTGCGACTGCTGAACACCATTGTTGGGAACATGTGTGCAGAGCGGACCAAACCGGGGAAATTAGATGCGGTCGAGTCTTTACCACTGTCCAACTGGAAAGACCTGCGGAGAAAAAATTACTTGCGCGATTTGTGCACGTCCGTCCAAGACGCGCTGAAAAAGGAGAAGGAGAAGCTGCAAAAGTACCCCTATTACGTATCCTGAGTAAAAACTACGCCGCTAAGGCTATTTAACGACCCATAGTCAAGAAGTTGGGAACTCTGCAACACAAATCTAGAACAGTTTTGGGAATCATACATGACAAGTTCGGCTCTGTATTGATGTAGTGCGCGTTATAAAGGGCAGTCGTATCACTATCACGAAGCCATCTCCTATATCCTCTTTGCAAATGCCCAAACGCGAGGATTGCAAATGCCTCTCGTGGGCGGGATGCACATAAGCAATTGCAAGTGTTCATGTAAAATTGCAAGGGACGATGTTTTTTCTCCGGATATTACGAGCAGAAGATGCTGCACGTGATCGAGAACCTCGAGAGCCCGCTATCCTGTGTAAAAACGTCCCCACCCCATAGTCAAGATGGGGACTTTGCAACACAAACCTAGGAGTCTTGTAAGTCACGCATGACAAGTTGCATTCCGTAGTGTAGTGCAGGCTAGCAAGTGCAGTCGCATCACAGATCCATGTGCTTATCCTTTTCACAGCATCACAAATTCCAAAACACGATTGGAAATGTCTACCATGAATATGCGCATCACAAATGTCCTTGTCATTGCAAATCTGCGTGGCTACCGTTTTAAGGTTTAGAGAACGACAGGGACGCCCAGCCCTTAGCTTCCCAACATGACAACTCTGGGGTGGGGACGTTTTTCCTGAGGATACCCGCAGCACGGGACCGCGGCGGCACTGCAGCGAGTCCGGAACTTGCTGGATTTGGACCAGCGGCTGATTTTGCAGACGAGTGACGGCAAAATTGTCGACCTGTTCGAAATATGGATTGCAAATATCCCTGGATGTCTGGAAACTTGTGATGCAAAGGAGGGAATCGCAAAAGCACTGTAATGCGCTGCCCAGCATGATAAGGTTTGCCGTGGGTCTGAGTTGAGTACTCCGCATGAGAAACTGCGTTTTTGCATGACAGCAATACAGAGCTCCGAGTCGACATGCCAGGCTAGCACGACAAATCTCGCAATCTCCCAGACCCAGACCTTTTTGCAGTTGATGCGAAATGTTTAAAGACAGACACCCGGCGGCGGTGCAGAACATGCTGCGTTTGATGGTGAAGATTTCCACGATATGGATTGTAAAAATGTCTGGGTCTGGAAACTTGTGATGCTGGGTGGCGTATCATGAAGAGGCCACAAGTGCTGGCTCAGCATGACAAGCTTTCGAGCTTCTAGGTGTTGCCTATTCTGCATGACAGCCTGCGTTTCTGCATGGCAGCAAAATGGGGCTCTTGGGTAACGTGCATGACAGATTTAACGAGTCGTGACAGACTAGCATGACAGATCTCGCATTCTTCCAGGCCCAGACATATTTGCATTTGATACACGACTTTAGTACGGTCGGTCGGCAGCGGAAGTGTTGGAAGTTCTTCTGCAAGCTCTGGCGCCGGCGCGAACCAGGAAGACTCGATTCAAGACGAGCCAGACGGAAACGAATTCACCGCGGCGGAGGACGCCAGCACCACAGCACTTGCGACCACGGGCGCGGCGAAAAACGTATCGACTGGTATCACGCAGCAACAGCAGCACTTCTGCACGAAGCGGGAGATGCAGGACCAAGTGCTGTGCGCCAGCGTTTTCGGTTTGGTCGGTGCCATGGACTTGCAGACGGTGGTGGAGTTTGAGCGGTCCCAGCAACTGCAGATCGTGCAGCAAGTCCCCGCCGCTGCAGGGAATGCGACCGCACTAGCGGCGCAGAAAGACGCCGCTGCCTCTACGACTCTTGCTGCGAACCAGGCAGCGGACGTACCCGGGATGCAGCACCAGCCGTCGGCGCAAAGCCTCGCGAATTTGAAGGCCTCCAGGAGTATCTATCAGAAGGAAAAAGCTAGTGCCATCTTTTCACTTCTGCATTTTTTATCGAGAGACCCGAGGTTCTCCGTGGGCCGGCCCGGATCGGCTTGATTATATATCACAGTATGTATCAGAGGGGGACGCAAGGGACGCAGCAAAAATTCGACAAAAAAGCCGCCCGGTTCGACTCCGGAGACCCCTTTTGAGGTTCTCCGGGGTTCGGCTAGGTTTTGGGCGCTCCCGCGCGAAGCTTTTGCGGTTTGCAAATCACACGACACCCCCTCTGATGATTTTTCCAACGCTGCAGAAACTCGACAAAAAAGCTGCCCGGCTCGACTCCGGAAATTCCTTTGGAGGCTCTCCGGGGTTCGGCTAGGTTTTGGGGTTTCCGCGCGAAGCTTTTGCGGGTTGCAAATCACACAAAACCCCCTCTGATGATTTTTCCAACGCTGCAGAAACTCGACAAAAAAGCTGCCCGGCTCGACTCCGGAAATTCCTTTGGAGGCTCTCCGGGGTTCGGCTAGGTTTTGGGCGCTTCCGCGCGAAGCTTTTGCGGGTTGCAAATCACACAAAACCCCCTCTGATGATTTTTCCAACGCTGCAGAAACTCGACAAAAAAGCTGCCCGGCTCGACTCCGGAAATTCCTTTGGAGGCTCTCCGGGGTTCGGCTAGGTTTTGGGCGCTTCCGCGCGAAGCTTTTGCGGGTTGCAAATCACACAAAACCCCCTCTGATGATTTTTCCAACGCTGCAGAAACTCGACAAAAAAGCTGCCCGGCTCGACTCCGGAAATTCCTTTGGAGGCTCTCCGGGGTTCGGCTAGGTTTTGGGCGCTTCCGCGCGAAGCTTTTGCGGGTTGCAAATCACACAAAACCCCCTCTGATGATTTTTCCAACGCTGCAGAAACTCGACAAAAAAGCTGCCCGGCTCGACTCCGGAAATTCCTTTGGAGGCTCTCCGGGGTTCGGCTAGGTTTTGGGCGCTTCCGCGCGAAGCTTTTGCGGGTTGCAAATCACACAAAACCCCCTCTGATGATTTTTCCAACGCTGCAGAAACTCGACAAAAAAGCTGCCCGGCTCGACTCCGGAAATTCCTTTGGAGGCTCTCCGGGGTTCGGCTAGGTTTTGGGCGCTTCCGCGCGAAGCTTTTGCGGGTTGCAAATCACACAAAACCCCCTCTGATGATTTTTCCAACGCTGCAGAAACTCGACAAAAAAGCTGCCCGGCTCGACTCCGGAAATTCCTTTGGAGGCTCTCCGGGGTTCGGCTAGGTTTTGGGCGCTTCCGCGCGAAGCTTTTGCGGGTTGCAAATCACACAAAACCCCCTCTGATGATTTTTCCAACGCTGCAGAAACTCGACAAAAAAGCTGCCCGGCTCGACTCCGGAAATTCCTTTGGAGGCTCTCCGGGGTTCGGCTAGGTTTTGGGCGCTTCCGCGCGAAGCTTTTGCGGGTTGCAAATCACACAAAACCCCCTCTGATGATTTTTCCAACGCTGCAGAAACTCGACAAAAAAGCTGCCCGGCTCGACTCCGGAAATTCCTTTGGAGGCTCTCCGGGGTTCGGCTAGGTTTTGGGCGCTTCCGCGCGAAGCTTTTGCGGGTTGCAAATCACACAAAACCCCCTCTGATGATTTTTCCAACGCTGCAGAAACTCGACAAAAAAGCTGCCCGGCTCGACTCCGGAAATTCCTTTGGAGGCTCTCCGGGGTTCGGCTAGGTTTTGGGCGCTTCCGCGCGAAGCTTTTGCGGGTTGCAAATCACACAAAACCCCCTCTGATGATTTTTCCAACGCTGCAGAAACTCGACAAAAAAGCTGCCCGGCTCGACTCCGGAAATTCCTTTGGAGGCTCTCCGGGGTTCGGCTAGGTTTTGGGCGCTTCCGCGCGAAGCTTTTGCGGGTTGCAAATCACACAAAACCCCCTCTGATGATTTTTCCAACGCTGCAGAAACTCGACAAAAAAGCTGCCCGGCTCGACTCCGGAAATTCCTTTGGAGGCTCTCCGGGGTTCGGCTAGGTTTTGGGCGCTTCCGCGCGAAGCTTTTGCGGGTTGCAAATCACACAAAACCCCCTCTGATGATTTTTCCAACGCTGCAGAAACTCGACAAAAAAGCTGCCCGGCTCGACTCCGGAAATTCCTTTGGAGGCTCTCCGGGGTTCGGCTAGGTTTTGGGCGCTTCCGCGCGAAGCTTTTGCGGGTTGCAAATCACACAAAACCCCCTCTGATGATTTTTCCAACGCTGCAGAAACTCGACAAAAAAGCTGCCCGGCTCGACTCCGGAAATTCCTTTGGAGGCTCTCCGGGGTTCGGCTAGGTTTTGGGCGCTTCCGCGCGAAGCTTTTGCGGGTTGCAAATCACACAAAACCCCCTCTGATGATTTTTCCAACGCTGCAGAAACTCGACAAAAAAGCTGCCCGGCTCGACTCCGGAAATTCCTTTGGAGGCTCTCCGGGGTTCGGCTAGGTTTTGGGCGCTTCCGCGCGAAGCTTTTGCGGGTTGCAAATCACACAAAACCCCCTCTGATGATTTTTCCAACGCTGCAAAAACTCGACAAAAAAGCTGGCCGGCTCGACTTCGGAAATTCCTTTTCGATGCTCTCCGGGGCTCGGCTGGGTTTTGGGCGCTTCCGCGCGAAGCTTTTGCGGGTTGCAAATCACACAAAACCCCCTCTGGTGATTTTTTCCAACGCTGCAAAAACTCGACAAAGCTCTGCGGCGTTTTGGGGGTGGCTTCTGATCTTGGAGAGGCCCCAAGCTAGCATCTTGCTGGACTCTGATCAGAGTCCGTCGCGACGAGGCCGCCCGGCCCCGTCTGAGTGACTGGGCGGCCGGGCCCCTTCGTTTGCTGTGTGGATTGCGCGAGCGCGCCTGCCTCTGTGGAAGAACCCGCACCCAGGCCCGGGGCCAGTGGCTTTCCTGTTTTCGAAATTCAACATAGCGGCAGCGCTTTTTCCTTCTGACACCGTTCACGCGCTGGAAATCATTCCGAACGGCGCGAACTTTGACCAGCACATTTTGAAGCGGGAGGTCAACATCCTCTGGTCGCAATCCCTGTCCGAGGACCCACGGTGCATTGCGTTCACGGAAACCAACCGGAAGATGAACGACAACCAGGTGAAAAAGATGGTTACGCACAGCATCAAAAATCGGCTTTCAAAGGAGCAACTGGGGCACCGCGGCGGCCTGCCCTTCGTCAGCAACAACGTCCTGCTGCAGCAGGAGATGGCGCAATCGAACCAGTACCCGAAGCGGATCTGGGTGCTGGAAGAGCAGTACCGGATTTTCACGCAGCACTGCGAGAAGCAAATCTGCATCGTGATCCTCCGCGACTTCATCGCGCCAAACTTGGCGAAAGATAAAGTGTACCACTATGCGGCGCAGCAGATCTTGAAGGTCCTCCGTGATGTCACCAACGCGGCGCACGTGGATGAGCAGAGGGTGGAAAGGGAGCAAAAGCTGCAAGCCTCTGCCGGTGGCAGGGGGAACGGTAGAAATAACACGGCTATCCAAGAGAAAATTTCATCTGCACATGTGCCAATGGTGTTTGCCTTGCATGGAAAATCGTAGTTGTACTTACTCTCGTTGGCTCTACCGTATGAGCGAAATTTGTAGTGCTTTTTTTTCTAGTTACAACGGGATATCATGTAAGGATTATATATTTATAAGCATTGAGATTGACCTCCTGCTGACGCACAGTACAGGAAATTATCCTTGCATAGCGACGACGGGGAACAAATATTTCAAAAATTTGCCACCCAGTGACCTGAAAAAAAGGGTTATGGGCAATTTCAGCGAGGATGTAAAGAAGCAGCTCCTGCCGTTCCTGACCAGCTCGTATCAATTGCGCGGGAGGGGCACGGAGGTCCCACCCGGGGAAGACGTGATTGCAGGGCTGCACGATTTATCCTGTGCAAAAGTATCGTACTCGACGTAGTAATTGCAGTCATGCATTACAAGTTTTTTTCATTTTCTGAAGGTAAATCCGCAATACAAATTTCATTTCTCATGCTGAGGGAATTAATATTTACATTGCTTGACTTCCGGGTTCTGGTAACGCATACCCCCGGCGACAGGTGACCTTGACAGGCGACCTTGACAGGCGACCTCGACAGGTGACCTCGACAGGTGACCTCGACAGGTTACCTCGACGGGTGACCCTGACAGGTGACCTTGAGAGGTGACCGCGACGGGTGAACGCCCTGCCTTCCCCCACTAGTGCTTCGCGCACTAAGCCACTATGCGCGCGCCTGGTGTGAGGCGAGGGGCGGACGCTGTCCGCCCCGATGCCGAACACCCTTCCCCCACTAGTGCTTCGCGCACTGAGCCACCACGTGCGCGCCTGGTGTGAGGCGAGGGGCGGACGCTGTCTGCCCCGATGTCGAACACCCTTCCCCCACTAGCGCCACTAGGGACGGGCACAAGGCCCCAGCGTGGGGACCCTGTCCCCACGCTCGGGTGGGCCTTGTTTGTCATGCATTTATACGAGTGCGATACCTATTTGCAATGCATACGATTTCCAAGGGCCCATGGATGTCATCGACGAAGAGGAGATTGTTGGAGCGAGCAAGGCGAGCAAAAGGACGGGAAGTAAAGCTGCGGGCAATGGTGACAACCCAAGCTCCGTATCAAATGCAAATATGTTTGGGTCTGGAAGATTGCTGAGATTTGCGATGCTGTGTCTGGTTGACACAGAAGGTGTGCCACGCAAGGCCTAGCATGACAGGTTTTGAAACGGTTTCCCAATGCCTAATCCGCATGGCAAACGCCTTCTTTCGGCGACAGGAAAAGAAGGCCGTTTCGCTGTCCAAGCATGACAGATTTTTGTCTGATCTAAGCATGCATCACAAGTTCAAGCCCGCAATCGCATCCTTCCAGACCCAGACACTTTTGCATTGTATACTCCGCCTCCGCGTCCTCTTCCGCGAATAACAAAACGCCGAAATTCGGTATCCAAGAACAAAGAAAAGTTCACCATGGTCAGCACTCATAGGCACTTGTGCAACACAAAAATGTGTGTCATGCGTAGAAACGCATCACAGTCAAACTAATTAGCGTTTAGTGAATTCCGATTCCACCCCTTTAGTGTTTCTGCAATACAAGACAAATAAAAGGCACGACGCCAAGGAATTTTCTGATGCAAAGCCAGGAAATCACTGACTAGGCGAAAAATTTTTGTACGGTCCATATTCGGAAACGACAAGTCGAAAAAGCAAAGTCCGTTCGACAACAAACCGCTGGAAACGCCTGGCACCACGAATTCCAACGCTTTTAGCAAGGACGAAATTGCGAAGTACACGAGCAGTAAATGCACCAACTTCCGGCAACTCGTCGGGTGGATGATTATCCAGGTTAACATCCTTGCGAAGGAAAAGAACGAGACGCTGTTCAACAACGCGGCTATCACTTACCATTCCGCGCAAATTTTCATCGGTTGCTACCCGGTCATCAAAACGCACAACCTGGCGTTAGCCAGGTACCTTGCGCCGTTTCTACTGCGTATTATCCTCGTGCAGAAGGCGAAAGCGACGCCGTCTCTATCGAATTACGCCAGCACGGCGAGCGGGGGGATTTCCGGTGCAGCGGGCGGCATCATAAACCCGTTGACGGGCATGGGCAATGTTCCCGGCGCCTTCGGAGATGTCTCGGGAGGTAATATCCTCACCTCGTCCCGTTCCAAAGTGAACAACAAACTGAAGCCGGCCAACACCACGACCAGCGACAACCTGCAGTCGGAAGCGTCAGGACAAAGCTTCCTGAAGTCCGCGACCAGTGCGCTGCAGGATTTGCGGCTACGGCTGGAACAGCTGTTGGAGCTGGATAACGTGGAAGCGAATATGCCTTGCTCAGGTATTTCTTCAATCTCAAACGCTACAAGAGAGATGCAGATTTGTGATGCAAAAACTGGATGATCTGGCCTACTCTCAGTGGACTACGCATGACAAGTTCTGGAGTCCCAAACCGCATGGGATTCCGGCGAAACTTGTATTGCGAAAAAGTGAAACATTCTGTGTGTCTGTCATGCTGCTCATGCAAGACAAATAGCAAAATACAGAAAGATTCTATTCGTTGTAACAGCACTTTAGATTGTAGCACTTGAGCAGGTCATAGCGAACTCGGCGGTATTCGAGGTCGTGGATTTGCTGCGATCGTTTATGTTGGAAAATGGAAAACGAAAAAGCAGTTTTAAGAAGCACAGTTTATTGCATTTACTAGCAACGAAGACGAGCTTGTCTTTGTCATGCCCGTTTCACACGCCCACGCCCTATTGTGTCGTCTACCATTCGATTTGGGGACCTGCCCGGATCGTCGTTTCTTTCAGGTCTGTGTCGTGCGCAGAATTCTGTTTAAATGCATCATGGGGGACCATTTCATTCCTGGGTGTTTGAGGTCACTCGCCATTTTGACCACCCGATGGGGGCCTCACACGTGGCGGGGAGGCGATTTTTTTTTTCGATGCGTTTTGCAGTATCCGGGCCTGGCGAATTTGCGAATTTTCATAAAAAGCGCCTTTTTAGGTTAGACGCAGCACGCGGGCTAAACGCTAAACGGTCAACATATTTTGTAGAGTACGATTGGGTGGACGTGGAGGTGGACGTGGTCGAGATGAACTGTTAAGATGAAGTCTCGTGTATGCATGCAGCTGCAACTCCTAGGAAACTGCTTTTCCAACTTTTTCCTACTCCTAGTTCATAACCTGGCTGGACGGTCTTTCAGTTGAACAAGAAATGATTTGTTGTGAAGGGAATTTTGTCATCGATTCCGAAACGTGGGAGCCTCAGGGGAGTATCCACAGTGCAGTGCTATGTTTGGGTCGGGAAACTGAACTTGTGACGCTGAGTCGTGGACGAGTCAGACACATCATTCCAGTGCAGCACTACCCAGATTGTAAGTATGACCCGTTCTTTCGCTCTGTAGCTGCCCTCAATCTACTCATATGTGGTAGCCCGCATTGCAAAATGAAACTTCTCTACTTTTCTCTTGGCATGCACAATAAAGGCGGCGCCGCTTTTTCTGGCTGGGCAAATATACAGACTCTACGGAAATGCAACACCAGCATCATAAGTTCAACTTCTATTCCCGAGGACTCAGGGGCATTTGCAATGCATAGGGGAAATACGGAGCAAACTGCTGGAGATGGACCGTGACGGAATTACCGGACAGTGGATCGTATCACCTGCAAACAAAATGTCCCCACAGCTTTGCTCACCTTGAAAAAGAGTGCTAACAGATACTCGCTATATCTTGCCGGTCGAAAAAAGCTAGTTTTTCAGCTTCAGGAAGTGCATCGAGCACTTCTTGAAAAATAGTTACTCATCCTGTTTGCGCTTCAGGAAGTGGGCAACTTTTTGAATTTTCCAGATCGGCAAGAAAAAACCGATCTGGAAAAATAGTTACTAATCCTGTTTGCGCTTCAGGAAGTGGGCCACTTTTTGAATTTTCCAGATCGGCAAGATAAAACCGATCTGGAAAAATAGTTACTCATCCTGTTTGCGCTTCAGGAAGTGGGCAACTTTTTGAATTTTCCAGATCGGCAAGAAAAAACCGATCTGGAAAAATAGTTACTAATCCTGTTTGCGCTTCAGGAAGTGGGCCACTTTTTGAATTTTCCAGATCGGCAAGATAAAACCGATCTGGAAAAATAGTTACTCATCCTGTTTGCGCTTCAGGAAGTGGGCAACTTTTTGAATTTTCCAGATCGGCGAGAAAAAACCGATCTGGAAAAATAGTTACTCATCCTGTTTGCGCTTCAGGAAGTAGGCAACTTTTTGAATTTTCCAGATCGGCAAGAAAAAACCGCTCTGGAAAAAGAGTTACTCATCCTGTTTGCGCTTCAGGAAGTGGGCAACTTTTTGAATTTTCCAGATCGGCAAGAAAAAACCGATCTGGAAAAATAGTTACTCATCCTGTTTGCGCTTCAGGAAGTAGGCAACTTTTTGAATTTTCCAGATCGGCAAGAAAAAACCGCTCTGGAAAAAGAGTTACTCATCCTGTTTGCGCTTCAGGAAGTGGGCAACTTTTTGAATTTTCCAGATCGGCAAGAAAAAACCGATCTGGAAAAATAGTTACTCATCCTGTTTGCGCTTCAGGAAGTCGGCAACTTTTTGAATTTTCCAGATCGGCAAGAAAAAACCGCTCTGGAAAAAGAGTTACTCATCCTGTTTGCGCTTCAGGAAGTGGGCAACTTTTTGAATTTTCCAGATCGGCAAGAAAAAACCGATCTGGAAAAATAGTTACTCATCCTGTTTGCGCTTCAGGAAGTCGATCACTTTTTAGATTGTTTCGACGCCTTCGTCCCCTTGCATCCCAAGTTTTCTCTTTGCGAGTTAACAAGGTTGTGGGGACCACAGTTTCCCCCCTCGATATCTCAACCCGCGCATCATCTGCGACGCCATGAACAACAACCTGAAACTTTTGAAGCGCCTGAACACTATCCTGCAATCCTTGAACCGCGGCAGCTTAGTCCAGGCAGCCGAACGGATCGGGGCCCACGCGCGGGCTCTCCTGTACCTGGAGCAGGGCGTATGAGAGTGCACCTCTCCATCTCCCCCTCATTTGTCATGCAAAATACAAAATCTATCCTTTGCCTCTTGGCACTCTTCGCATGACAAGTTCCGGAAGCTCAAGCAGCAGTACAATCCCGGGTGACTTTGTCATGCAAAACCTGCATTCTTGCCGACGCTTGTATTGCTGTTTGAGCAACATCACAAATGAAGGGGAGGGGGAGTAGTGCACTCTCACAGGGCGTCTTCGAGCGCATGCTCCCGGAAAACGACGATCTGGTCGCGGCTTCGCAAGGCGGGGCCTTATCAAATGTAAAAATGTCTGGGTCTGCAAGAATCCGAAATTTGTTATGGTGTTTTTGCATGACACAGAATGTCTGTCATGGAAGCCCTAGCATCACAGATCTTTAGAGGCCTTCCTGATACCTATTCCGCATGACAAATGCCCTCCACGCGTAGCACAAACCGGACTCCTTTTGCTGGTCATGCAATACAGAATTTTTTAGAGTCCAAACTTAGCATCACAAGAAGGGCTTCGTCGATCGATTGTGCCACTAGGGCCTTGTGTTCCGGCTACTCCGGATCGCAATCGATGGAGGGCGGGACCTGCACCGGCGACAGGCGCTATCCAACCAACCAACCAAGAAGTTCCAACCTTCCAGACCCAGACATTTTTGCAATCCATAGGCCTACAGCCAGGACAACTACACGCAAAGCCGGTCCGCCAAGAAGTATCCCACGAAAAAACTGTTTCACTGTGGTGATTTTGCAAAATCTGCATCACAAGTTTGTTACGCATGACACTGAAAATCTGTCATGCGGGGTTCCTAAGGGAAAACACAGCTAGAAATCCATTGGCGTGCATGTGTAGCATGACACACACGTCTGCGATCCATTTTCTGCATCACAAGTTCACAGTGAAACAGTTTTTTCTTGCGATAAGAAGGAACGGCAAAAGTTATGGTCAAAAGCTTCCGCAGCGGCGGCGAAGATTTTGCCGAATCAGGGCGGCTATGCATTGCAAATATGTCTGGGTCTGGAGGATTCTGAGACGTGTCATGCGCGTTTTGCATGAGCCATGATGTCTGTGATGCCTGCCCTAGCATTACAGATTTTTTGAGGGCTTCTTGATGCCTACTCCGCATGACAAATGCCCACCTCTCCGCGTAGCAACAATTACATTGCCTTTGTTGCTCATGCAATCCAGAGTTTTTTGGAATCCAAACCAAGCATCACAAGTTGCATTCTTCCAGACCCAGACAAATTTGCATTTGATACCGGCGCGAGTTCGCCGGACGATTTTTACGACAACGCCGCGGGAGCCGCAGACAAACCGGCGCTGGACGATAAGGAGGAAAAGTACCTGAAAAAATTCGCCGACACGAGGCACTACGACGTGTCTGCGCTGACGAAGGACAACGACGTCAAATCATTGAACGCGATCGACAAGAAGCGCCTCGATGACAGGACGAATTGGGTATGCCCCACTGGCGGGAAGAAGCTGGTGCTCTTGACTATGACCTGCTCAAATGTTGTTTACAATCTCAAAGGTTGCAATCAATAGAATATGGAAATCTGTGATGCATAAGAAGAGCGCTTTTAACTTTATCTCGCCTAGTACTCTCACAGGATTACGCGTGACAAGTTCCGGAGCCACAAACCGCACTGAAACCCGACAAAATTTGTATTCCAAGAAGCGCAAGACTCTCTAACTATGTTACCCATCAGGGCACGACTCATGCAGGACAAAATCCAGATTCTATTGTAACAGTTGAGGTTGTAACACGACTAACATGTGGGCACGCCATATTGACCCGCTGGTCGAAATTTCTTCTCGGGAAGCCGGATTTGGATGAAGCCGCGGCGTTTAACTTGCAGCGGCTGCACCGCATTTTGCAAAATCAAGACAACGCTCTTGGTGCTTTGAAGCTGTGCAAGGTTTCCGGCCCGGTGATCGCGGTTTTGAGGACAGAACTGCAGGAAAAGTGGCAGGACGCGCTCCACTTGTATCTCCGAAGACTCGCGACGGAGCCGAAGCACAAGATGCCGTCGCTGTGGTCGGGCGTGGTGCGGTGTCTGCTGGCAAGCCGGCACTACGAGAACTGCTTATCCACTTGCTCCAACGTAAGGTTCGACGGGGAAATGCTGTTGCAATTCGGAAGTGGGTTCGGCGTTGCACCAGCAAATGGCTTCGGTGCGGGCGGAGGGACGCTTCTGAACAACCACCAGCTGATGTTGGAGAGCGTTGCGGTACCTGCTGGTTCTGCTTCACTGGGCGGGGGCGGCCCAACTGGTCAGTTTGTCACCTTCCAACACCAGCAGCAACATCCGGGTAATTATTATATGCAGCGAACCCCACAACTGCTGTTTCCGAGCCTCGAGGACGCTTCCTCTCCGGCTTTCGGCATGGACCGCCCGCGGAACGCGAGAAACGCCACACCGGCAAGCGCAATGAACGCGGGATCTTTTGTCCTACCGCTGGTTTCCGACGATTTGGCCAACGCAGGTGACCTATCCGATCGGAAAGACGGCGCGTGCCCTTGTATAGATACTGAGAGGGAGGTTTTGGTCATGCGTACTTACTTATATTTTCTTCGATGGATGAACTAGGTCCCGTGGTTATGCTTGATCAGCACGCGCAGGCCCCTTTTTGTTGAAAGCGAGCAGAAAAGCGCTCAGCTTTTGTGCTCGTTTTTTGCGTCCGTGCGCTGAAAACTCCAGGCCAGGCGTAGCTTGACCCGAGCGAAGCCCACAACTGTAAGTAGAATCGCCTGCCAGCTCGCGCTACTGGATAAAGCCTTCGCGCGGGTTGCGGTCTTCGAAAGTCAAAACACGCAGGAAGGGGCAAAAACAGAGAAGCGGGGCAGGGGGTCGGGAACGCCGGCAAGCTGCGGCCGGCGGCCTAATTCTGACGGTTCCGGAGACGGTTCGCAGCGTCTGCCGAGCAATTTCCCCAACTGAAGGGACGGCGGCAGAGCTGGGACGGGGTTGCGAAAAGCCCGGAAGCGGCCAAGAAGGCTCGGAGCCCGGCGATTTTGGAGACGATTCGCAGCGCTGAGAATTTTCTTCCCGGCAATTTTTCCAGTTGAAGGGACGCCGGCAGAGCTGGGACGGGGTCGCGAAAAGCCCGGAACAGGCGAAATAGGCTCGGAGCCTGGCGATTTTGGAGACGATTCTCAGCGCTGAGAATCGTCGTCCCGGCAGTTTTTCCAGTTGAAGGGACGCCGGCAGCGCTGGGACGGGGTTGCGAAAAGCCCGGAACAGGCAAAACAGGCTCGGGACCCGGCGACTTTGGAGACGATTCGCAGCGGTGAGAATCGTCTTCCCGGCAATTTTTCCAGTTGAAGGGACGCCGGCAGAGCTGGGACGGGGTTGCGAAAAGCCCGGAACAGGCAAAACAGGCTCGGAGCCCGGCGATTTTGGAGACGGTTCTCAGCGCTGCGAATCGTCTTCCCGGCAATTTTCCCAGTTAAAGGGACGCCGGCAGAGCCGGGACGGGGTTGCGAAAAGCCCGGAACAGGCAAAACAGGCACGGAGCGCGGCGATTTTGAGGACGATTCGCAGCGCTACGAATCGTCTTTCCGGCAATTTTCCCAGTTGAAGGGACGCCGGCAGAGCTGGGACGGGGTTGCGAAAAGCCCGGAACAGGCAAAACAGTCTCGGAGCCCGGCGATTTTGGAGACGATTCTCAGCGCTGCGAATCGTCTCCCCGGCAATTTTTCAAGTTGAAGGGACGCCGGCAGAGCTGGGACGGGGTTGCGAAAAGCCCGGAACAGGCAAAACAGGCTCAGAGCCCGGCGATTTTGGCGACGGTTCTCAGCGCTGAGAATCGTCCTCCCGGCAATTTTTCCAGTTGAAGGGACGCCGGCAGAGCTGGGCCGCCCGGGGTTGTGAAAAGCCCGGAACAGGCAAAACAGGCACGGAGCCCCGCGACTTTGGAGACGATTCTCAGCGCTGAGAATCGTCTTCCCGGCAATTTTTCCAGTTGAAGGGACGCCAGCAGAGCCGGGACGGGGTTGCGAACAGCCCGGAACAGGCAAAACAGGCTCGGAGCCCGGCGATTTTGGAGACGATTCCCAGCGCTGAGAATCGTCTTCCCAGCAATTTTTCCAGTTGAAGGGACGCCGGCAGAGCTGGAACGGGGTTGCGAAAAGCCCGGAACAGGCAGAACAGGCTCGGAGCCCGGCGATTTTGGGGACGATTCTCAGCGCTGAGAATCGTCCTCCCGGCATTTTTTCCAGTTGAAGGGACGCCGGCAGAGCTGGGACGGGGTTGCGAAAAGCCCAGAACAGGCAAAACAGGCTCGGAGCCCGGCGATTTTGGGGACGATTCTCAGCGCTGAGAATCGTCTTCCCGGCAATTTTTCCAGTTGAAGGGACGCCGGCAGAGCTGGGACGGGGTTGCGAAAAGCCCGGAACAGGCAGAACAGGTTCGGAGCCCGGCGATTTTGGGGGCGATTGCTCGACAAAAACCCAAGGGGGCCACGCATGTGCGTGGCCCCCTTGGGTTTTTGTCGAAATAGTCATAAGGCGCACCCCTTTGGTTTTTGTCGAAATGCCGAGAAGGCGACCCCTCCGTCCTGGCTTTTGTCGAACTGCCACCCGAGTGCGTGGCCGGCCCCCTTGGGTTTTTGTCGGAATAGCCATAAGGCGCACCCCTTTGGTTTTTGTCGGAATGCCTATAAGGCGGCCCCTCGCTCCTGGTTTTTGTCGACCTGCCACGCGAGTGGGTGGCCCGCCCCCTTGGGTTTTTGTCGAAGCTGCAGCGGGAGGGAAGCGCCTGGCGCCCCTGTCCCTCTTGCCTAGCTCTCTGTGCCCTCGATCTCTCTGACCTGGCGCAAGAAGGGCCGCCTGTAGTTGCTTTTGAGAGACGAGTCAGTACCTATGGAAATAAGCAGGGCAGCGCGCGTTTCCGCTCAATAGCACCACTCTACCACGGAACAGACCACAGAAGCGGAGAACACCAGTTTCCAGAACTTCCACCCGGAAAACTATATCGACCAAAACGGGTTCACGTCCGCCGACGCGGCGGCGATGTTTTTGTCCAAATACGCAGCCGAGGCGGCTTGGCGGCTGTCCAGCTGGGACACTCTGGGCGATCTCATTTCCAAGCGCGACACGGATCCGCACCAAGGCTGGCCGTGGTACAGCTTCGACCGGGAGATCAAAGACATCCTACCAAATGCAAAAGTGTCTGGGTCTGGAAGATTGGAAGAATTGTCATGCACATTTTGCATGACTCATGACGCCTGTAATGCATGACCCAGCATCTTCACCGATTTTGTGAGGGCTTTCCGATGCGTCTACCGCTTGAGGAATACCCCCTCCGCGTAGCAGAAACTGGACTCCTCTCGCTGCTTACGCAATACAGATTTTTTTCGAATCCAAAGACAGCATGACAAGTTCCATCCTTCCAGACCCAGACATTTTTGCATTTGATACATCCCGGACGACACCAACTCCATTCCGGACAACGCAAACAACCCTTTGACGAAGGAGATCTCCTATCACAGGAAAAAAGTGTTACAGTATACACATCATTCGTTGGAGGAGTTTCTGCACCACAAAGTTGCAGCTCGACATGGCAAAGAAAACCTGTACGGGAAAACACGAATCCAATGGGGTTGGCAACAAGAATTTCCTGCATGACCACAGAGGTTGTCTGTCTTGCTTGTCTCGTCCCATCAGAGTGTGTAACTGTGGCGCTTTTTTCTCTTGATATCTCCCTCTTCGTGGACAACACGCTGATGAAGAAGCACGGGCTGAATCTGGAAGAGGAACGCGACGAGGAGCTGAAACAAAACACCTCGCTGAACGCCATTATTGTGAGGAAAAACATCCCTGCCCATATCGGACAGGAACTTTGTGATGCTGGATTTGCGTGCACGCATCTGCTTGTATTGCTAGAAGGGCAAGAGACGCAGAGGTTGCGGCCTTGTCTCCAGGCAATTTGTCATGTTGTTTCCCACTTCCAGTTGCCTCCTGTCACTACAGTCCGCGCCTTTTCGTCCCTTCTACCATGACAACGCGACTTGTGGTCGCAAATCAGCATCACAAATTTCCAGTTTCTGTATGGGGCGGGGGAAGTTTTCATTTTGATAGCCAGCCGGATAAGCTTAGCCGGAGGAAGTCAGTACCCCGGAGGGACGATGGTCTTAACCAACAGCCAGCAGATGCAGATGCAGCAGCAGAAGGGCGGGGTGATTTATGCTGGAGTCAAGGGCGGCGGTGGACATCATCAGCAGTTTCTTGCGCACAACCACCCGGGTGGATCATCTTCTTCGTACAACGTTGGCGTCGCCCACCAACCAGCCTACAGCCTCGGAAATAACATGCCGCAGCAACCACTGCAGCCCGGAATGCTGGTGCAACATCCGCAACCCGCGCAATTCGGTGCTGGGTTTGTCGGGCATCAACAGCAAATAAACCTCCACCAACCCGTTGTCAATCGCTTGGTGATGGGACAAAATGGCCATCCTCTTCCGGGGATGGTGCCTGGCATGCTGGGCACTAGTGCCGGCAATCAAGGGTTAATACAGCCTGCGCTGAGCAACAACCCAGCCGACTACAACCACAGACGGAGATCCGCCGTAGGTTTCGGGCACTATCAAACTGGAAACAGCTTTCAATTTCCTGGGCAACAACATCTTCAAGCGCAGTCGCTGATGCAGCGTCCTGGTGGCGCGCCAGTTGCAGTTCCAGGGGTAGGTAATCACGGAGCGCAGGCGTTCGGGGGCGGGTTGCAAAGTATGCAGCAACCGTCCACCTTCGCGCAGCAGTCGGTTTTTGGAATGAATGCTGGAACGAATGCGCAGCAACAGCAGATGACGAGGTCCGGTGCGGCTGTTCTGCCAAACTTGTTCGGTAGAAACACAACAACCAACATGCCTCCAGGTGCGGTCGCGTCGCCCTACGCCCCATCGGTGCTACCACTACAAGGCGCCGGTGGTCCTTATGGCGTTCCCAAACGTTACATTCTCAACTGTTACATGAAGTTGTGCTGCAAGAACCGCAATAGTGAAAGGGGCAAGCTTGCAACTCTCGCATCACAAATCCGGCACAGATTTAGGGGCTGTTTAGCCCTTCGGGGATTTGTCATGCGAGGTGGCTTGATTGTCTGGTGGCTCATGGTAGTTTTGCACGACAAATCATGTAACAGTTGAAAATGTAACGTTTGAGAGCCCCATAGTCCTGGTAATCAGGAGCCGCAGATGCAGCAGGGCATGACAAATTCCTCGACTTTATCCTGAGTAAAAACGTCCCCGCCCCATAATCAAGATGGGGAATCTGCTAGACAAATCTCCAAGTTGTGGGAGTTGCGCATGACAAGTTTGCCTCTGCAGTGTAGTGCTGGTTAGCCAGGGAAGCTGCATGAGACAGCCACTTTGTCATCCTGTTTATAGCATTACAAATTCCAAAACACGATTGGAAATGCCGCTCATGGAGCTGCGCAAGCGCATTACAAATTATTTTGTTTAGCATGACAACTCTGGGGTGGGGACGTTTTTGCACAAGATAGACTTCATTGAAGCGGCCAAACCCGGACAACGAGGTCATCGTGATCCCCGACACACTATCAACTGCAAATATGTCTGGGTGTGGTCTGGATGTTGAAACTTGTCATGCTAATACATGAGTGACAAAATGACTAGAGTACGCATCCAAGCATGACAAATTTTTGAACGGTCCTGTGTGGTGAAATACGCATGAGAAACTGCGTTTTTGCATGACACAAAACTAGCACTAGCATTCTGCAACACGCAATACAAAGTTTGGGAGCATGAGCTTTCAGCATTACAAGTCTGGCATCCTTCCACACCCAGACACAATTGCATGTGATACACACCATCGGACGGTGGGAAGCAAGCAGCTACGGAGAAGGTGTTCGACTCTAACGAAAAAAGCTCCAAAAATCTGCAGAATGCCATCAATTTTTCCACCCTGCAGAAACACGAGTCTGGGATCTACTCGAAGCAATCCCCCGGGTCGGCGCTTTCGGCAGGACAGCAAGAATCGAGCGCATTGCAATATCGCAAAGAAATAATTTGGCTTCACTGTAAACTTGTAGGTGCGGAGGTGGAAAATGTTACATCGCAGAACCAGAAGTGTTTGTCTCGCTACACATGACGTAAGACAGTGGATTGCTACGCCGTTGTTTTATTCCCGTAGGTGGAACCTCGCGTGGCAAATTCCATTCTGTTTCATGTAGAGCAAGCTTGTGAAGTAGAGTGATGCGAAAGTCACGCTGAATAAATATAAATTCCTCTAGTGAAGCACTTTTTTCGCACGATATCGCGCATATCCCGAACAGCACGAAGAAGCACAGACGAGTCCTGATGCGGCAACAGGCGATTCTCGGCGACACAGAGAGACGCGAGGCAGACACGAACTCTAAACTGCCCCGGGAGCTCCGGAGGCAACAATCCTTTCAGCAGGATCATTCGCCAAGGCACCTGCAGGGGTCGGGGCTGCGCGGGGCGGGGGGCAACAAACTGGCGACGAACCTATCTGGGACAAAATTTAGGAAGATAGATGAAGAAGACGATGAAAACTCGGACTCGGATGACATGATGAACGAACACAGTCGGGCCTTTGTGCCGCCAAACATCAGAAAGGAACTCAAGGCGCATGCGAGTTTGTCTAGGTATTCAACTTCTTGTTCTATTTGTGGGATTTTCATGTTTCTATGTTTCGTGCGGCTTCCGCTGTGTGCGGTCCGCTAGCGGAAGCCGTTCGCTCGTGATTGACAACAGGAGGGAAATTCGGGACATTCGCATTTTTTTGGCATCGCAGATCTTGCTGCATCTTTGAAAACGCAGACCGCCCTCGTGCTTTGCGGCAACTTTTTGATCACTTTTGGCTGCTGGCAGTTCCGCCAGCGATCATTTTTTGGACAGCTGGCGCGGAGCCTTGTCGCCCAGGCCAGCAGAGAAATGATCTCCGTACCATGCAGGTTTGTATACTTTTGGTTGTTTGGGGGTTTCGTTTTGGGCTTGTGTGCAGAAAAGCTCTGAAGTTGCAAGAAAACGGAATCACGACGGGACGGCACGTCTCTTGGTGACCGCCGCGACAATGAGCGCTCGCCCAGCGGTTCACAAGGATGCGCCGTCCCGTCGCGTTTATCAAAAAGCGCCAACTGCCCAACTTCTGGGCGTTCTCTTGTTTTGAAATGTTGCCCGTTGCCTAAATCACAGGGCTTGGCCCCTGTTTCGGGCGACATGACTTGCGCAGTTTGGTCTACCACTTGAGCTCCCGCGGTCATTTTTTGGACAGCTGGCGCGGAGCCTTGTCGCCCAGGCCAGCAGAGAAATGATCTCCATACCATGCAGCTTTGTATATTTTTTGTTGTTTGGGATTTTCGTTTTGGGCTTTTGTGCAGACAAGCTCTGAAGCTGCAAGAAAACGGAATCACGGCGGGACGGCGCGTCTCTTGGTGACCGCTGCGACAATGAGCGGTCGCCCAGCGGTCCACAAGGGTGCGCCGTCCCGTCGCGTTTATCAAAAAGCGCCAACTGCTCAACTTTTGGGCGTTCTCTTGTTTTGAAATATTTCCCGTTGCCTAAGTCACAGACGTCCGCGCCTGTTTCGGGCGACATGCCTTGCGCATTTTGGCGTCTCGCATGAGCTCCCGCAGTCATTTTTTGGACAGCTGGCGCGGAGCCTTGTCGCCCAGGCCAACAGAGAAATGACCTCCGTGCCATGCAGGTTTGTATATTTTTGGTTGTTTGGGGGTTTCGTTTTGGGTTTGTGTGCAGAAAAGTTCTGGAGTTGCAAGAAAACGGAAGCACGGGGGGACGGCGCGTCTCTTGGTGACCGCTGCGACAATGAGCGGTCGCCCAGCGGTCCACAAGGGTGCGCCGTTGGGTCGCGTTTATCAAAAAGCGCCAACTGCTCAACTTTTGGGCGTTCTCTTGTTTTGAAATATTTCCCGTTGCCTAAGTCACAGACGTCCGCCCCTGTTTCGGGCGACATGCCTTGCGCATTTTGGCGTCTCGCATGAGCTCCCGCAGTCATTTTTTGGACAGCTGGCGCGGAGAGTTGTCGCCCAGGCCAGGAGAGAAATGATCTCCATACCACGACGGCTTGGATACTTTTTGTTGTTTGTGCGTCCTTGAACCACGCCGAGAGTGTGGGACTCACCCCCACCGCTGGCAGAGTCGCTGAGGCATTTCCATGTGATTATTTTGTCGTCCACAGCGGACACTCTACTTGGGGCCACACTGACTTGGGTACTTGCATCAATGCGAAGAGGATGAATTAGGCGTGTGAAGATTAACGCACCTTTACTTTCCTCCCAACATATCAGGTCCGCGGGCAATTCCGCACAGAAGAGTTACGCCACAGTATCGTGAAGAAAAATCCCCCCTCCCCGTATTGAGAAGGCATCCGTTCCGAAATTTGTGATGCAGATTTGTGATCACAAATCATTTTTGTCTTGCAAAAAGGCAAGCGGTGAGGGATGCGCCGCATTATGGATGCGGTTTGTCATGCTGCTTGGCCTACGGGGCAGGCGTTTCCCATGCTAAACAGCTAGACCCTTGCGCACCTAAACAGCCTAAGAATCTGCCCAGAATTCTTTACCGCAAGACAGACCTCATTTGTGTACGCAAATCCAGCATCAGAAATTTTCTCTGATTTTCTTTTGATATGGGGAGGGGGGATTTTTCATTTTGATACACAGGAACAAGCGCTTTCCTCCCCACCTTGGCGAAGGAGCAGGCGGCGCAACAGAAAGAGAAGCAGAAGGAGCTTGCTTCGAACATCAAGCCGCCAGGGATGATGTTACACAACGGGACAACGACCAGCGGGGGTAGTAGCTCCAGTGCCTTGAAGCCGAACCTTTCCGACGGCGGAAATATGTTAAACCAGCCCTCCACAGGACAGCCGGTGAAGAAATCGGTCCAATTCGGGGCCATCACGACCCACGAGTATAACAGCCGGAATTCTGGGATGGGTCTTGTATCCTGTGCAAAAGTATCGCACTCGTACTAATTGTAATTACGCATGACAAATCTTGTGCTTAAGGTAAAAAAGCATGACAAATTCCAGTTCTCACGCTGAGCAAATTTGTAATGCAATCTATACGTAGTGCGATGCTTTTGCAATGCATACCTCGCCCACGGCGGCAACACGTCGCAGCTGTTCAATGTGGCGGGCAGCTACATCACTTCGAATTACGCAAGCCCAGCGTTTAATAGCTCCATCGGAGGGATCTTCAATGCGGGCGGCGGAGTACCTCCAAATGCTGGCGGTGGAAAGAAATCCGCGGCGAATATCATTCAACAACAGATCCTATGAAATGCAAAAATGTCTGGGTCTGGAAACTTGTGATGCTGGGCGGCGTCTCATGATGAGGCCACAAGTGCTGGCTCAGCATGACAAGTTTCTGAGCTTCTAGGTGTTGCCTTTTCTGCATGACAATCTGCGTTTCTGCATCACAGAAAAGTGGACCTTTTGGGTAACGTGCGTGACAGATTTAAGAGTCATGCCAGACAAGCATGACAAACATGCATTCTTCCAGACCCAGACATTTTTACATTTGATAAATCCGCCAGCAGGTCATTCGGGTGCAGCAAGAATCTTTAACGAATTTTAACAAGCCGGGGGCGTTCGGCACGGCGAGTTCGGTCAACCCAGGCGGGTTTGCAAATTTCTCCTCCACCAGTTTAGCCGCGTCTGCGTCAGCACCGAATTGTTCTGGCAATCAGAATATGGATTGCAAAAGTGTCTGGGTCTGGGAGGATGGAATTTGTGATGCGTCCTGTGGATCACAGAAAAATCTGTGTTGCGTGATCACCAAAAATTGTCCTTTTTTGTTGACCAACATGAGCGGGAGTCTCTCATGCAGGATAGGCATGATAGAGACGCCGCAGAATCTGTCATGCTAGATCCTGCATTCCTGACCTCTTGGGGCATGGAAAATATGCATGACAAGTCTGCACTCTTCCAGACCCAGACACTTTTGCATTTGATACAGAACCCACGGGAGCGAAACAGCTTTTATGAAAACTTACACCAGAACCTATCAAATGCAAATATGTCTGGGTCTGGATGATTGCAACTTGTCATGCTAAATCTGAATCAGGCAAAAAACTGTGTTGCATGATTGCCAAAACTTCTGCACTTTTGACCTAATCGAGAGGCAGTTTCTTATGCAGGATAGGGATTAGAAAGGTCTCGCAGAATCTGTCATGCTATGTCCTACATACCAGACCTCATGGGTCATGAAAAACCTGCAAGACAAATCTGGCAATCATCCAGACCCAGACATTTTCGCAATTCATACAACTTGGTGTATCACTACGACGGCCCGGGGAGCTTGTCTTCCCAACATGAGGACTTCCAAGTGCAGATCGGGAAATGCTTACTTGCCGTGCACGAAAAGAAATTTGATCGGTTTTACGATTTGCTGGACACCTGCAAGGTCGCTCTGCTGAAAACGGTGTCGATCACCTCTGGTGAGCTGTCCTACGAACGGGTTTACCCGACGTTGATCAAACTGCACGCTTTGGCGGACCTCGATTTCGTGGTATCAAAATATCAAACAGCGGCTTTGTACGCGAAGTCGAAAACTGGAGGCATGAACAGCCACGAATCCCCCACCGTTCTCGCGAATACGATCGGGCACGTGAAGAAACAGCTGTCAAAGGCGGGCAGGATCTCCGCGCTGTTGAACAACAAATCTTTTCAAGGAAACGGCTTACGCGGTGTTTCTGACGTTTTGATATCCAAGAAAAACACTGTGTAAGTGTAACTTTGTGTTGCAGGCCCAGACGATGCAAGACACTTAGACCTGTCATGCTGGACATGCGTCAGAGGCTGGCTTCATACGTGTTTTCACGTACTAGCTACGCATGACAGGTTTTCTGTGTCATGCAAGGCAAACTTGTCATGCTATTCCTTCATTAGAAAGTACACGCTTACGCAGTTTCTTTTCTGCATATCTTATCCGACGCTTACAGTCCTGCGCCAAGAGCTACGACGCGCAGGAGCTTTCCCTGTCGCTTTCGAAAATCGCCTTGCAGGAGCTGTTCTCCACCAGTTTCAACTACGACTCGCTGAATTTGGAACTGCAATTTCACAAAATCAGTCGGAAGAGCGGTCGGGTGTTGCAGATTCTGGAGGACAGCAGACTCTACCTGATGCGGATGGGCAACGAAAAGAAGCTATTCTGAGTAAAAACGTGTCCACCCCAGAGTTGTCATGCAAATCTGCATGCCAGAAAAGTTTGTCATGCGGAGCGCCAAGAGAAGCATTTTCTAGTTGTGTTTTGGAATTTGTGATGCTATGATCAGCAATGATATACTAGATCTGTGATGCTGCTGAACTACCCAAACAGGATAACTACACTACGAATACAAACTTGTCATGCCAAACAACCAACGCTGGCTGATTTGTCTAGCAGACTTCCGATCTTGACTCTGGTGTGGGGACGTTTTTACAAATGATAGAAGCGATTCCTGCAAGCCTTGGAATCCGATCCGCCGTTTCAAAAGCTGATTCAAGATAAAGACTTGGAAGCGGTCAAGCACCAGTACTTGCTGCAGCAAAAAAACGCGACAAATTCCACAAACAACACGGACAAATACGGATCTTCCATCGAGCGGATGCTCTTAACGCAGCGGCTACAGGAACTCGCCGAGGACGAGAAACTGCATAAAGCGTCGCTTTATCAAATGTAAAAGTGTCTGGGTCTGGAAGATTCTGAGACTTGTCATGCAGGTTTTCCATGACCCATGATGTCTGTGATGCATGCCCTAGCATCACAGATTTTCTGAGGGCATCTTGATGCCTAGTCCGCATGACAAATGTCCTCTCTGCGTAGCAAAAATTGTATTCT